CGCGGCCTGGCCGGAGGACGCACTCATGTGGCCTCGCGGGGCTCTCCCGGCGTTCCTCGGGCGGCAAGGCCAGGTGCCCAGACTTGGGGTGGGGGGCTCGGAGTGTGGATGGGTTCGCGTGGCCCCCCAGCTCTGCGCTCAGGTTGGGGGGAGCTGTCGGGGACGACACTGGGCGGGTAGGGCTGGCAGGCCGCCTCCCCGGGGCCTAGACGCCACCCCCGGGAGAGAGGGGGAGGCCCACCCCTGCCTGGGACCCCTGAGGCAAGGGCACCCGGGCCAGCCAGGTGGCTTCGGGGGGCCGCTGGCCGTGTTGCTCCGGCCTTCTCCCCACCCCGCGTGGGCTGCTCTGCGGGTCCAGTCGCTCGCTCGCCAGTGTTGAGCTTCGTCTCCAGGGGCCCCTGCAAGGCCACGGTTCGTGCAAGTGGCCCTCAGCGCGAGGAAGCATGGCACCTGGGCTCCAGGGTGCTGTGCAGCCTCGTGTGCCACGTGGCCCTTTGCGCCCTGCGCGCTCTCCCCCCCCCCCCCGAGTGCTCTGCCCGCAGATAGGATTAACGCGCGTGGGAAAAGTCGGAAGCACCCGAGACCCGGAATTGCCCGGGGCTGCCTGCCCCAGGCCGCCCCATCCCCCACCGCGGCCTCCAGGCCCGACTCTGATGAACGCATTTCTCTGGCAACTGCTTCCTTTGGTCTCCCTGGCTACCGTGCTGCCTCCCCACTCTCCTGGCACCTGGGTAAACTGCTGGTCTGCGTCATTTGCTGGGGCCAAGGCAAGTGGGTCGGCTTTAGTGCTCTGGAAAGGCAGGCGTGTGCCCGCTTTCTCCAGGCCCGCTCTTAGGTGAGTCAGCCCCCACGGACCAGCGCAGACTTTGCAGAGGAGAGTTTTTACTTTCACACTCCGGTTCTCTGTGAGTGTAGAGAGATAAACCATGTTGCACAAAGAAAAACAGGCAAAACAAAACCTCAGAAATACAAGCTGGTGATTGTTGTCCCGGTGTGTAGAAAGGGATGGACCACTGACTTCTGCTGCACACGGGGGCTCCAGCCTGTCAGGAGCCCTTAAGGACAGTAGTGTTCAGAATTTACCACTGGTCATTTACCCTTCCTCTTAATACCTTGCCTGGGATTCACAGGGCATTTTCTGTATCGTTTATCATGCCCCACCCCGCAGTTCCCACAGTTATCTAGATTTGAGTCATTGGGTGCTACACACTCTGTTTATTATAGAAAGAGGACAACTGTAAAGGTAGGTCAGCCTTTAGTTTAAAAACACTAGCTCCCCATTTCAATGATTGTCCTGGCAGAGGCTCCCCAGCGTGGAAGGGAGGCTGTGTCAGCCTGTACAGCAGACGAGTTAGAGAGCTGACACATCAGTTAATGACCATGGGGAAATTTGTAGTTAGGAATGGTCCTGGGGTCCTTTCAGTACAGGCAGCTACACTGCTGTGGCACATTTAAGCGTTCAAGGAGAGAGTGAAGGAAGATGTTGTACGATTGTAAGAACACCACCAAACGTGCATCAGGCACAATTGAAAATCCTTAAAGTGGGTTTTATATATATAATATGTATATTATATATATAAAATATATAACAAGGTAAATAAAATAAATGAATCGAAGAGGAGGGAAGAGCACTACCCACTGACCTATAGTGTACCTGTATATGCCTCTCTAAAGGAAACAGTCATTAATTGATTACTGAAAAACAGAACTGCCCACCCAGAATTGATGGGCCTTTGACACCCCCCCCCATTTTGATGACTCCCTGGCTTTTAAGTGCAACAATAAACTATTACACAATTTGGACCAGATACAACATCTTTAATGTTAGATTCAGCCTGAAGACTGGTTTGGAGTCAGTCTGTAGATACTTCTATGTAGAGTTCCCTGTTTTGCAGTTGAGGCTCAAATATCAACTCACAAAGCTGTTGTTAAGTGATGGAATGAGATCCTGGATCTTTTTGTTGCTTTATCCCAACCAGTTACATGTTGTGTGCCTGTCAAGGATAAAAGGTTATTGGTGATGATGTGGTCTGTGGGCTGGTCCCTCTTTTTACATCGAGAACTCTGTGGTGGTAGGAATCTCCTGTTGCTGTAGAAGTCAGTATAGGTCTTCTGAGCATTCGTGCCTAGAAGGAATGTGCTGTGTCTACCATTTCATAATGTGTGTTAGAGCAGTTAGTTGGTCCTGAGAGCCAGAGGTCTGGAGAAAGGCTCCTCCCATTATGGAAGTGACCCCCCCTTTCTATACAAGATTTTCATTTTCAACACAGATAAAATTTCAATAATTTGTCCTCAGATAAGGCAGACTTGAAATGATATAACTTTTTTAATTTTAATCATATTTTTAGTAATTGTGTGTTGGGAGTTGTGTGCATGCCAGAGTGTGCATGTGTGGGGGGTGTCAGAAAATGGTTTGCAGGAGTCAGTTCTGTCCTTTCAGCAGAGGGTCCTAGGGCTCAGACTCAAGTGTTTTTACCTGTTGAGCCATCTTGCCAGCCCTGAATTCTTATATAATTGTTTTAAGACTGATAAAAGTGGAGTGCTGATTAATTTCACCTTTTCTGTCTTAACAAAACCCCTCTAGTGATGCCTCTTAGATTTCCAAGAAGAATTAGTAAGACAAAATGTTGTGCCTCTCTCCCTCCCTTATTCTCTTCCCCCACCTCTTTCCCTCCCTCCCCTATTTCCCCTCCCCCTTCTTACTTTCCCTCCTCTCTGTTCCCTCTCTGCAGGATCTTCTTATGTGACTTAGGCTGACTTTGAACTCCCAACCTACCTGTGGCAGCTGCCTCCTGAGTAGTAAAGCTGGGTTGGGTTTTTTCTGTTGTTGGTGTGTTGGGTTTTGTTGTTGATTGATTGATTTTATTTGTGTGTGTGCAGCAAATTGTAAAATTGTAAATGATAATCTCCTAGGGCTTAAAAGGACCCTGACCCAGGAATGAGGGCCTGGGTCTTTAATTCTGGGTAAGGCTTAGAATCTTAGTATCAGCATCACATTTAGTCATGCTAGTAGAGGTTGGAAGGGTCTAGAAGGAAAATTTTAGTATCTTGCTCTTAAGGCTTTAAAGGAGGAGTGAGTATATTCAAAGCCTTTGGCAATTGGCTTTTTACGTGAGAACACAAGCTCTTAATACAAACAAGACAGTTTCTTTACCCATATTGGGAAGGTTTTAGTAAAGTTAAAAACGTCAAAATACTGCCTGACTTTAGCCTCTCTAACATCCTCTATCAGCCAAGAAATCGGCTCTGAGTTCAGAATTGGCAGATCGGGAAAGCAGAGAGCAGTGGGTGTCTGGGGCATCTACACGGAAGTTCTTTCTTTGCTAGTGTCTATTTTAGTGCTAAGTGTTGTGTGTGTAAGCTTCATTCACTGGTATAAGGTCCTTATATCCATTTAAAAGGCAAATTCCATTAGTGAATTTGTAATTCTTGTTAAAGTTGGGTGGGAATGCATAACCAACTAATGTTTAGACTCCAGTCTTCAGTAGCTAGTGGTGGAGGCAATTAAAGACTCAGGATCAAGTAACAAATTATTTTTCTACTTTGGATAGCTGTGCTAATCTGATCTGTAAATCTACTTTTCCTAGTCTAAACTGAACTGATTCTGGGTAGAATATTCCTCAAAGCTCCTGGGACAAATGAGAACTGGGATTGGACATAGAGCTTAGGTAAGGCAGTTACATAAATAGTTTGGGCTTTTATCTGTTTGATTTAAAACAAGGAGTATTGAATACA